AAAAAAAAGATTAGCCGCGGAAAAAGCGAGGCCAAAAAACGATTTTCAAGAAAATCGCGCTGGGAAAAAAATGATTTCCAAGATAGTTCGCTGAAAAAAGAACGCTTTTCAGGGCAAGTATTGTGCCGTTCCCATGAAAAAAGCAATGGCTCTTAAAAAAAGTTCTACAAAAAGTTGTCGAAAAAAATTTAAAAAACTTGTATCTAAATTTTAAGAGTTCTTAAATTTTTAAGTAGAAAAAACTCTTAAAATACTCGTTTTAGGAAACCCTTTTGGGGAATTCTTTTAAGTAAAAAAATCGCATGCAAAAAATCAACTCAATTCAATCGATTATTTTGTGCATTAAATCGATTTCTTCCAAATCGAAAAAAAATCAACAACACTGTTCGACAGGAAGTCTACAACGTCGGTAACGGAACTATGCGACTTCGCACTTTGACTATTGATAGGTAGGTCTGTACATAGCAGAAAAAAAGCGCCTTAAGCCTTATGCCTTATGGCGACGTAACGGTTTTTCATATCCCTGTCCGGCGTATGTATGATTTTGTTATAGCAACGAGTAATTATGATAATCACTTTTGTAACGTTCCTTCAACCCCTCATACGCAATGAATATTAAATGCGTGTATTGTGGACGGGAGGGGCGAGGGGTAAACCGGGCGCGACCTTCCGGGAACACTGAACTTTCATGTATCACGCGTCTGTAACCGATTATCCCTCCTGCTTATTCTTTCACTTGTGGATCGTGAGTAATAATTACCAATTTCTCCGAGTTTTCATCCTGACATTCTGTTTCCAATGGCTCCACCAGAAGTTTTTATCGATTTTAAGATTATAAGATTTAAGATTTTATCGGTTGGTTATCGCGATTATATCGGTGGCAATTTATTGCAATATTATCGAATAAAAAATTGCGATTTATGGCAATTAAATCGCTTCGCCATATATCGCGATTTTCATTTCGAAAATATCGCGATAAGGTGGAATATAATCGCTCAGATGTCGATGATCCAAGCGATTTTATCGCCGATAAAATCGCAACATATCGCGATTTTTCCGTTGAAAAATGCTACTTGGGCAGGGTGGCATGGAACGGACGATTGGAAATGTCAGTGTTTCACGAGGCTGTGAAATATTTCATATTTTTCAGGGGCTAAAGTATGCAACCCGCACTCAAACACACAGAATTGGAAAAAAGTCACAATTTTTACATTCTGCGAAACATGAAAAGGGGCCGGTATTTTTCAATTTTCTTTCATAAGTTTCTAAAATGTCATGAAATATTTCACGTGAAATTTCAAAATTTAATTCCTCATGAAATTTTGCCACCCTGAGCCTGAGAAGCACAGACAGCGATTACATTGGTGTTGAATGGGATGGGAGTGTCGTGTAAGTTGCCTGTTCACAAATTGAAGGGGCTCTTGTTGAAATTTCTTGCAGTAAAATAAAATTGAAATGAGTTACAATACATCGTGCATTGCTTATTTCCCACCTTTCTCACACATTATGGAACTCATTTGGACCGCGTTCAGCAGAAAGGAACCACGCCACATAAGCGATTGTAAAATTTAACTGGGCAAATTAATTTCTTACAAGAGGACCTTTATGCGGATTCCTTTGAAAATTTTAAGGAATTTGCTTCGTCCTACGCAGAAAATTCACTGAAATTTGCACGAAAACCCGCACAACCGTTTACGTGTAAAAAAATTAAATTGCCCAATAGAATTTGGCAACATCTGACGTGGCTTGGTTCCTTTCTGCTTAACGCGGTCCATTTTATGGGTTGTTCCAAATCGATTTTTATCGATGAAATAAGAAGAGAATTTTATACAAATCAAGTTTTGCTCCTTGCCCCCCCCCCCAATTTTGGCGCACCCCAAAAGCACTTAATGTGCATATGAAGACCATAGATAAGGTCCTCCATGCAAATTTTGAACGAAATTGAACAGATAGATTTAGAGATGTGGTGCACAGAAAAAGAGTACGCCTGACGGAAGGACATACATATTTTCAAGCACCTATGGTTTTTTGACTCAAGGCACCTTAATTCACCTAAAAATTATGAAATTTCAATTTTTTTTCTTTCTTTCTTTAAAATATCAGTAAAAATAAAATTATTATTTTATTTTAAATTATTTACTGATTAAAATGATTAACTTTTCTAGTTGTCTTTATAATGTTCGATCATTAATTCTTATTTTAATGGATTACCCGCGAGGGTAGTGAGACAGTAGAAATCTTGCAAATGTATGGTAAAAAAATTGCAATTTCGTCGCATTTATGATTGTAAAATTACTTCAATTTTTTCGTAGTATTGTGCGGCGTGGGATAATTTAATCCAGGTTTAAATGCACCATCAAAAACTTTGCGCACGCTTCTTGTGAGTCATCAACTTCCGTACGCTTCCACAAGTGACTAGTAGTTCTCAATTACTTACTAGTTACTCAACCGCGCCCTACCCCTGCACACACACGGTTAGATTACACATTTTACTTACCTCCCCTCCCTTGAACCCCGTGAACCTCGAACTTTACCGCGTACGGTATTCTCGCGCGCCCTAAATACCGTACGCAATAAGCAACTAGTTCCCAGGATTACCGTACCGCACCGTATAACCGCACAAAGCACAGTGAAAAAATTACGTGAATCGGTAAAAAACTTCAGTGCTATCGCGGAGTGTTGTGTGTGTCTGTGTTGTGAAACGGCCTTCGGTGCGATAGAACGCTCATTTTCCAGTTTGTAGTTTTGTTTTTTTGTACGAAAATGCACGAATTTCTTTCCATGCGGTGATATACGTGGTTCCTATCTAAGAAAATGGTTATTTAAGAACTGTTTCATGTTGCACCAATGATCATAACCTTGTTCGGTTTTGCTGTGTTTTTTATAATATTTTGGTGTGGTCAATGGATACTTCACTTGACTGCCATCATTTACGGGTACGTTCTCTTTGAATATTCTCCTTCTTTATTCTCTATCAACTACTGCCTCATCAGGAGGTATTTTATGAGTTTACTTGTACCACAGCAGAGCCTCACAAATTGAGCCACTACGGTGTTGAACACTCCCTGTACCAAGCGCAGCGTCTGGAGTTTTACATCATAACTGCTCGGTTCCAATAATTTTACTATTTTGCATTGGATCACTGTCATAGAACAGAGAATTTCATGCTCTCTTTTCAAGTGAAATTCTTTAATTATTCTCTTGCTTTTGAACAGCAGGAGGTCACGCAACTGAACACTGCAAAAACAGCCCTTCTGGTGCTCTGAAGTAACCGCAGAACACTCGGTCAGAATCCCCAACTTTAACACTGTGGAGTTCACAGTTCTCAAAAATGAAATGTTTTCGATTTTAATATTTCTTTATCACCATTTCTCTTCTATTTGACCCCTGGAAAGTAATGCTGGCAACCATTGGGGTGTTTACTTACGGATTTTTCCCAATTGCAATATCGAAGTCATGGTTTTATCTGTGTTACTCTTTTTCTTATGGCATCATCCCAAATTTTCAGAGGAATATTGAAGTATCGAGAAATTTAACCCTCCCTCTTGAGCTCTGATTTAAGTTATTTCTGGAAGTAGACATATCCTTAACCCTGAAAACAGTGGATCGTAAAAAGGCATCAGTGAATTTTACATTTTAGCCCTGTCCGAGTGCTTTTAAGAGGCTTTCTTACTTCATAGCTCATGAACTGTAGGTACAATGCGAAATTCACATCAATATACGTGTTTTGTCCCTGACAATATGGTTGCATAACTGTAAATCGCAGAGACAACTGCCTTTCCAAGGCCTTGAAATCTTATTCCCCTACTACTTACCACTCTGAGTCAGAGAGCTGTACTTCAATGACTGTTATGTAGTTCCTCCTAGATGTGTAGTTCCCCTTAGTACTGGGGAGAGAGAAGAATGGACAACTGTCATACCGATGTGAATTGCGTCAATCATCAGTCGACCCATTCGTTAGCACTTAAATTTCTGTTGAATGGTAACATTTTCCAAATGTCTTTAGTCCTTTCTATTCTTTCCCCAGTTCTAAGCAATGCGAGGTGTTTTCAAGTCTTCTAGGTGCCTACAAAATAAAGCTGACGAATTAAAATTAATATACACCGTAAAATACAACGTTCTATGTGATCTTGGGACAAGATCCCCCACCACGCTGCGCTGCCTCACGATTTACGTTTTTAAGTAGCAATAATTATTGTAATGTACAAGACAAGATAATGCAAGAATCTGATCCATAACAAGTAACAGCATCAATAATTACTGAGAAGAATGACATAAAATTTATTAAGATTCATCGTAAATTTATACCTGAAACTACGATAACGGACGTTGTCTGTTGACTCGACGTGTAAGAGAGAGATAGTACTATAAAGACTCTCTTACACATTGAGTCAATGGGCGACGTCTGTTATCGTAGTTTCAAATATAAAACTAAAAAAAACTAAAATATAAAACTAATCTGATATCACTCTACTCAGTATTAATGCTGCTACACATTATGGATTAGTTTCTCGCATTAATTTGTATTAATTTTGAGCTATTCAAATTAAACCAGGCTTTTTTTTTTTATTTTGAAACCCTCTTATTTGGTACATGGTTTATTAGCTTGTGCAGTCTCGGAAAATGCTTGATTTTAAAGTTCTTTTCAAGGTCTTGAAAGTGCTTGAACTTTAGGAAGGTGCTTCAAAAGCACTCAAATTTTACTCTTTACCAGTCGTTAGCGGTGAATGCTTGTTGTAAAAAATAACAAAGCTCTTAAAATTGAATTGATAGTTTATTGGAAAGACATCTTATTTTCGAAAGAAATCGCAATCTACCTTCAAAGAGAACCAAAAACTGCAGACTTGAATTCTCGAGTCCTCACAGCGATGCCGCACTTCGACACTGCTGTCAGAAAAACGCTGTATGAAGTTGCTAGAGTTGCCAAATGTCCCCTTTAAAATATTTATTTTGAGGAGAGTTGTGAGTACTTTCTCTTGAAATTTTCAGATAATTTAGATCTGGTCGCGAATAAAATTCTCATAAAAATTCGAACCAGAAAAATATGCACAGGTTTTCCTGAAAAATAGTATTATATCAAAGAAAATTTGGAAACGTCTGAAGGCTCTTCAGGCGTTTTTTACCACTACAGAATCGGCAACCGTTTGAAGCTTACAGTGTCCGTAAACTTCGAAAAAAAAAAAAATTTTAGCTTCGTATTTTATTCAAAATTACCGCTCTGGGGAAAACAACACATACGTTATGGATATGGTTCGAAAAGTGCTTGAAGATTCTTAAAAAACGACTTGTTCTTTTTTTTTTTCATCATTATCATTTTTTCCGGTCGCACGAACAATGGAGCATCTCAAGCATTGTTAAATCCTCCCCCATAATTACATCAGGTTGGGGTCAACCCCCCCTTTTTCCCCAACCCACCTTAAACGGCGCCGTTTTCGATTTGAATTTTCTTAAAAGAATACAACTCGCGTCGAATCTAGCCTGACGTCACATTCCGTCTAACAAACCGCACCCCCCTCGTCTTGTCTCTGGCCAGTCGTCAGGCACACGTCAGGCACCCCTTGACCCCCTCTTTGCTCCCCTTAAGGATTATGACGTCATTTCATGGACGGCCCCTCACACGTACGCCGATCAAAGTTGCCAGGTTGTGCCATTGAATTGAAATGTTTTACATGTATCTAAGTATGGAATTGGACTACATTTTGCAATTTGGAACTATAAATTATTCTAGCCCGGTTTAAAGACAATGCATGTGCCATTAGTATCCCTATGCACATAAGTGTCTTCTCAGAAGCGCCAGAATTTATAGTTCCAAATTGCAAAATGCAGTCCAATTATTCTGATTTTCCCGCACAAGCTGGCAACATTGACGCGCATGCATCCTGAACTTTCTTCAGTGTTTACTTCAACTTACCTCCTCTTGCGTCATTATTTACCCTCGATTTTTTAATCTATTCTCGCAGTCTTTTTTTTTCGGCCAACCGGTAGTGCCTATAAATATCCATTCAAATCCAGAAGGTTCTGTCTAATTATTTGTGGCGTGTGGCGCGGTGTACAAGTTCAAAGGCAGCTGATATCGCCTCATCATCATCGCATCACCCGACTCGCGCCACTTATTATTAGAGGATTGTCGTGGTTTTCGATGAATCGATCGATCGATCAATCGATATCCCATTTAACCCTATAGATAAGGATCGGCTATCAGAGCACACCTCAATAATCGATTCTCTACAATAGTTTTGAATCGATGATTCACGCGTCGCCACTGCTTATCGTCAAATTCATTCATTTCTGAATCTCATTGATATTCTATGCATGTTGCCAAACGCTGTGGCAACTTAGCAGTTTTTCCGCGTAGAACGGTCAAGCAGTCCGGCAACATTGCCGTGCTAAGAAAAACCACCGTATAAGCTTACGCATATTCGAGAGTTTCCAAATTTCGACGAATAAAACTCGCATTTTTTTTTTTTTTTAGAAAGGTTATGCGTATTTTTCCTTGAAATTTTCAGATATTTTAGATTAAATTGCGAGTAAAATTAAACGAAAATTTTGAAGGAAAATATTTACAATTTTCCCCAGTCCAAACGTTTTTTATTGAAGGAAATATGGCAACGCCTTATTAATTAGACGGCGTTCTTCCTTAGCACGGCAGAGCAGAATCTTTATGTTCGACAGTCGACTAGTCTGTTGCCGATTTGAATTTCTGTGTTGCCATTTTATTTTACCGAAGATTCCGATTTCCCGATGTTCCGAGACGAGTGCCGATTTTTTCAAAAGCTCCGGGAAAAAATTCCGCAATACGCCCGAACTTCGTTTCGCGGATCATCAAATTTATTGAATAATTGGTCAAACTTGATAAATTGACATAAAAAACCAAAATTCCGAAAAGAGCTAAAAATTCCGGGAAAAATTCCGATTGTTTGAAAAGTTCTGAAATTTAGCATTCATTCCGGGAAATGGCAGCTCTGTAGAATTGCCGTTCAGTTTTTCGCCGATGAAGTATTGCGAATTTGCCGGGTGCCATCTGCGGCCATGGCCATGTGATGAAAGTAAGTGAAAACGGAAGTGTTAAAAATAGTGAGTGTTCTGTGATGAAGGGCTCCTATATCGCGCGTCAGAATTTCTCCAGCGGAGGGGAACGTCTTGCCAACGCTGTTATGCTGAAAGGAAGAACGCTGAATGAACATTCGAAATCCGCAAAATTTCCCGCGATTAAGTATGTTTTTTTGACAGGAATTATTTCACGCGGAATATTTCATGCGCACACTGGAAAAAAACACATTGGATCTAGAGTCTAGACTGTTAAAAACATCGACAAGAAAAAATACTATTGATTCAATCAGATTTAAGCTTAAATCAAGAACCAAGCCTCTTAATTTGAGCGGATTTCCTTTTGATTTAAGCTTAAATCTGATTGAATCAAGAGTCCTTTTTCTTGTCAATGTTCTCAAGAGTCTGGACTATAGATCCAATGTGTTTTTCCCAGTGCAGTTAATTACTTTATTGCCCATGGCGGCAAATTTTGCAATTTTTTTAAATGTAGCTATAAAGAAAAATCGGATTCAGAAAAAAAAATACGAACGAGAAAAGGTGACAAAATCTCTCATTTCCTGAGAGTATATACCTCTAATTTTGTCGTCCTTCTGTGATACAATAGACAGCACCTTCAATTAGTCGAGTTAAGACTAAGAGAGAAACCGGACACGGAATTTGGTCTGGAACGGTGCGGCAGGCGCAGAGAGCAATGATACGAGAACGTGAGATGAAAAGGAGAAACCCTCGGCGCGGTGGTCAGCATGTAACACATATTAGCGCCTACAAGACTGCATGAATACTTCACGCATTGCGCCAAAGACAGTGCGGTCGCTGCGGTCAGCAGCGGGCAGCGTGAAACGCATAGCGCCTGCAAGACTGCATGAATACTTCACGCATTGCGTCG